CATGAACGCAGAGATGTACGTTAAGTGGATATGAAGCTCAGTACAAACAGTTCAAGCTGAATAACCACGGCGATTAGGCTTCATATTTAATTCATAACGTCTCATTGTTTGTAACTCTGAGCTCAGGAGACTCGCGCCGCGTCTACCTTCTCATTGAAGTGGATCTCCACAAACTTCCCGAAGCGACTGCTGTTGTTGTTCCGGACGGTTTTCGCGTTTCCGAAAGCTTCCAGCAAAGGGTTGGCTGCCGGGAGAGAGAGAGAGAGAGAGAGAGACAGAGAGAGAGAGGTGGAGTCACAAACACAAACAGGAGGAACAGCTGATGCAAAGAGCGGGAGTGTGAATCTCACCTTCCACTATTCTCTCGTCGATGTCCTGACCCGTTCCATACGAGGTTGTCAGGTATCTGTTGGAAACACACAGGGCAGCTGAGTTCACTCTTTACCCAGAATGCTTCAGTTACAGAGCTGATGACTTTGTGACGTTGTTGGATTATATTTCAAGTGTTTTTCTGTTTTTCAGTCTCAACAAAAGTAGAACCACCTCCTTGTGGTCACATCCCTGTTTATCCAGAGTCATTAACAACACTTTCTCTCTGTGATGTAACAGGTGCAGCCCCTCCTCTTCCTCATCTTCATCCTCACCTGAGCACAAACTTGGTGTTCTCTGTCTTCCCGGCCCCAGACTCCCCTGAGACGATGATGGACTGGCTCATCTTCAGGACCTTCATGTCCCTGTACGCCTTATCAGCTGAGACACACACACACACACACACACACACACACACACACACACACACACACACACAGCTGTTAGTCAAGGACACAAACCTGACGCCGCTAACCAAGCAGATATTACACTGCAAAACTTCTGCAGTATAAAAGGTGATGAGTTCGTCTGAGGGAAGACAGAAGCTGTGATGTTCAGGGGACTGTGGGAAATCTGAGCGCCGACTGCTGCCTGGTTATAACTGAACTGATACTGCACAGAGGAAAACACCTGAAGAAAACCGTCAGTGTAATATGATGATAATGAAATCGCATGAATTCAACAGTCGCATCAGATCAATTCAATTTGTAAAAATATTCAAAACTTAAAATATCAAAAAGTTAAAAAGACTTAAAGAATATGACTTTTTCTTTTTTGTATTTGTCAAAGTTCTTCTTTGCTTTACTGCATTTGTCTGATAACTGTGTTCTTTTCCATAAACCTCCTCGAGGGACAGTGAGGAAGAAATGAAGTCTTAAAATGTCTGAAGCCAAATAACAGATGTGAAAATTATCAGTCACTTGTTTCCTTCAAAATAAAATGATCACAACATAGAAGAAGAAGAGCAAGCAATCAGCGGGGTCAGTGAACCTGAACCTGCTGTTTATACAGTGCCCCTCCCACACAGCATCGACTACAGCAGAACACAGGAGAGAGGAGGAGAAGCGGCGGATGCGTTTCACTCACCGATGGCGTACACGTGCGGCGGCAGCGTGCCCAGAGACCGGCCCCGGTACTGCTTGATGGTCTCCGGCGAGTAAAGCTTTGGGATGTCATAATACGGGTTCACTGCGATCAGGATGTTGGCTACAAACGTCTGGAGGAGGAGGAGAAGAAGAAGAAATCATTTAGGAACAACATTCATCAGCTGATAAAACCTACGATCTGCAGCAGCCACAAAAAACATTTATTATCTACTTTTAAACCTGCATCATGGACTTTCCTACATTTCCCAGAATCCCAAAGCAGGAAGGCATCAAATATCTTTTGTCTAAATCCACCATCTGTTGAAGCTCAGTGTCTCATAAAGCAGTGGCTTCACAGACGAGCCTCATTAACTCGCACAGTTGGGAGGAATCACAGGATTCACCACTTTATTAGGAACACCTAGCTAAAGCTAATACAACAGTGCTGCAATAAATCCTCCTTCATGATGTTCAGTTTTGTTGAAAGTTATTGGAGGCTTCTAATATTTTATCCGCCACATTTATATTAATGAGCACAAACTAAGTCCTAGATTAATATATAAAACCACATCACAACTAACTACATCCAGTAAAATGTCCATAAAATCCTCCCTGAACAGTTTCAATAAAAACTGAACATTGACGTCTTTATGAAAGCAGAGAAAGAGAGAAGTTCCTGCTTCAGCCACTAGATGTCAGTGTCCACTAAGTCTGACCCACAGTCAACATCAGCCGCTTCACTTCAGAGGAAGACGGCGTTCACAAGGGAAGACGACTGAAGACAGATTTCAGCTTTGGACCATGACAGAGACATTTTGAATAAATCTGAACATTTTTTAAAAAAAAGTGAGAACATTCTTTGGAAAATCTGGATAATTTACAAAGTCTGGACATTTTGGAAAACAAGGATGTTTTCTGAGGGACACATTGAGAGACTGAGAACATTTAGATCTTTTGGAAAGTGATGAACTCTTTGGAGAATATTGTGTATTTTAAGAAGGCGGGACATTTTTCGAGAGTGAGGACATCTTGTCTGGTCCACTGTGTTTGGACACGAACGTTTTTAGATAATGATGAAATCTTTGGAGAGAGTTTATTTTAAGAACATTCTGCCTGGTTTCCTTTCATCCTCAGATCTGTTTGAGGGTTGAGTCCTGGTTTAGGTTAGTCCTGGTTTAGGTTAGTCCTGGTTAAGATCAGTCCCGGTTTAGTTTAGTCCTGGTTAAGGTTAGTCCTGGTTAAGGTTAGTCCTGGTTAAGGTTAGTCCTGGTTAAGGTTAGTCTTGGTTAAGGTTAGTGGTTTAGGTTAGCCCTGGTTTAGGTTGAGTCCTGATTAAGGTTAGTCCTGGTTAAGGTTAGTCCTGGTTAAGGTTGTTAAGGTTAGTCCTGGTTAAGGTTAGTCTTGGTTTAGGTTAGTCCTGGTTAAGGTTAGTCCTGGTTAAGGTTAGTCCTGGTTAAGGTTAGTCTTGGTTTAGGTTAGTCCTGGTTAAGGTTAGTCCTGGTTAAGGTTAGTCTTGGTTAAGGTTAGTGGTTAAGGTTAGTCCTGGTTAAGGTTAGTCCTGGTTAAGGTTAGTCTTGGTTTAGGTTAGTCCTGGTTAAGGTTAGTCCTGGTCAAGGTTAGTCCTGGTTAAGGTTAGTCCTGGTTAAGGTTAGGGGCGAGGGTCCTTGTGAGAATAAAAGCACAAAGCCCCACAAAGAGGGAAAAGTTGATTAAATGAAAAGTTGTGACGTGTACGTTAATGTGAGGAGGATCTGATCGACGGGATCTTTAAATAAAATGATTTGATATTGATCTTTGATTTTAACATGTGCACTTCTTCCATCTTAATCATTTTAATTTTTTTTATATAAAGAACTTAAAGCTGCAGACACTCCTCACTACAGTCATTACATCATCATCTGTATTATCTACAGTATGTGGGTGTGAGCTATGTGACTGTAAGTGAACGTGCAGAAGACAGGTTTTGCATGTTGCAGAGTGTGTGTGCGTGCGTGCGTGTGTGTGTGTGTGTGTGTGTGTGTGTGTGTGTGTGTGTGTGTTACATGCTCTTAATTGTTCTTCTGGTTCAGTAAGCGGTGACAAGAGGGGAAGCAGACATCTGTGTTCAGGTCCAGACATGGAGACGTACAGAACTTTCTGAAAGTTGTGCAGTAAGTGTGGACAGTACGAGCGTGTTTCAGCAGCTTCATTAGCTTCACTTCCTCACGTCAACACTTACATAAATCTTGTCTTTGCTGTATCTCACACGGACGTTGTTGAGCAGAGTGGCTTCATTCAAGTACATCAAAGAACCTGAGGGACACGAACGGGACAAAAACAAGGAGCAATGAAGGAAACACACGAGCTGCATGAAGACACTTTACTGTAAACCAGTCTGACCTAACAGGCTGAAGCTCCTCATTTCACAGGCACCAAAAACTCGTCTATGTGATTAACACTGATTTAGAAAAATGTGCAGTTTTATCTCCGGGTAGAAAATAAAGATAGCTGTTAGTAAAACTTACAAGTAAGGAATCAAAATAAAGGTCTGCTGATGGATATATCAGCTGTTAGTGGAGAACTTTTCTGCTACAGCAAAAGAATTGTGGATTTATTCTGATTAAATGCAGAAAACTTTGAATTTGTTCAGAGCGACGTCTCTTGAGGACAGAGCGACTTAAACTGTGACGTTCATGTTTCTATCTGAGGCTTTGCACTGACAGATGGGGATTTATAGGAATTTATGTCTAATATCTACAGTATATGTAATGAGTCACACTTTCTTCAGTAACCGGCATGAATCAGGGAAAGAGTCAAGAAACATTAGAAGGTAAATGATGGTAAAACAAACAAACTTACAGTTGTCCTCCACATGTTTGTTGACGTCGTCCTCTGCAGGGAAGACTTGGTTGATGGGAGCCAAAAATGTCTGGAAGAAAAAAAAAAAAGAGAAAAGAAATATGAATCATTTAATGCTAATGCTACGTTAGCTAATTAGCAATAGCGAAACTTACAAATAGCTCCTTTATTATTTTTCTTGTGAATTTAATTTGCTGATTATCTGACCAGCTTTATTAGAACTGAAGAACTCTTGTTCTATCAGTTATTTTGTAGGTTTTTGTCTTTTAATTCTTTTCCATTTTTTGGAAGTTTATTTCTTTCTGTTCAAACATTATTTTAAGTTTTGTTTATAAAGCAACTTTCCAGAGGCTGAAAACACCAGCTGCTGCTGGAGACTCCAGGCCTGATGAATTATTTGCGAGCAGGAGGAAACAGGATCAGAGCGAAGGGAGCCGCCATTCTGCATTATTAACCATCCAGTCAACTCGCCAAACAGGTGATGGAAGATTTTATTCCAAAGACAAGAAAAGATAAAAGTATTTGACTTGTGTGAATTTTCAGGTACTTGTACTTTTACTTGAGTATTTTCATTTGATGCTACTTTGTACTTTGTCACAATCAATCCCTCCGTCGTATCAGCATCTTTTCAACATCAGTTTGTTTGATGACTTCAGTGCCGGCTTCATGTCTCAGCTAGGCTACGGTGGTACTACACATTAGAGCTGCAACGATAAGACGAATACTTGATCAGTCAATTGAAAGAAAAATAATCTGCAACTCTCTTGATAAGAATCCGAGTGATTTTCAAGCAGCTGTGATGGATGCAGGTTCTCAGTGTGAGAGTGTGATGCTTTTCTTGGTCTAAAGTTAAAGACGGTGACAGGATCTGACTGTTGGTTGAAGAATCAAGCATCAGGACTTGACTCGGATTGTTCCACCTCCACATTCCTCAGGCTGAAACCGAGCGTGTTGAACTAATGCAGGAGGGTTTATGAGGACGCATGTGACCTCAGTGTTTTGGAGCCCTGTGGGGGGTGTTGGTGTCATGTTTCTGTAATCTGTAGGCCAATCACTGCCAGCTCCTGTAGGCTTTCTCTCTCTCTCTCGCTCTCTCTCTCTCTCTCACTCTCTGCAAGGCCGGCCCCATTCAATCTGCCCAATTAAAGAGCCAGTGCGGGCCTTCAGCGGGCCAAGACCGCGCCGCAGTGCCAAGGTGACGTACAGTCGATTCATTCTTTCCAGCGGTGGCATGTTCCACATTCTCAGCCCAAACTGGACCAAAGAATGGAGGAGAAAATACAGGAGGAGGAGGAGGAGGTGGAGGAGGAGGAGGTGGAGGTGGAGGTCAATGGAAGTGACACGAGGCCAATAATCTGAGAGAAAAAGAAGCTAAACACTGTTAACCCTTTCACCACCGCTGGACTCCTTGTTCCTCTCGTCTCTGCAGATACTTCTTTATGACTCGCTGCAGAATGAATTTAGAACCAATCAGACGCCTCCTGATGTTGTTACGTGATGAATAATAATAAACATCTAAAGCAGCGTTTCTCAAAGAGCGGTCCTCACTGAAGGAGTGAGTCTCAGAGAACGGGGGTTATAGGATAAGTAACTTCAAGATTTTAAAGCTCACATTCAGTTTGTCCACTAAATGTCACATTAGTTTGCGCCTCGTCTCCTTCACTTTCTCCCTCAGCACCAGTGAAGCAGATCAGACTGCGGACGCCCTCTGGGAAACACACACACACACACACACACACACACTCTACACGACAAAGACTGAGCCATTGTGACTGATAGTATGACAGGGTATCATGCTCTCCGTCTCTCTCCTGACGTCCAATCCCAGGAGGCCTGCCAGCGACTGAACACATCGTCAGACACTGGCACAAACTGGCCGCAGCGGGACAGACCGGACATTGTTCTGATACCGGACTGTTACAGGCCTCCGCTGCCGCCCGGAAACTGGCTCAGAGAACGGATCTGAGGAGAACGAGTTTCCATGTTTCCAAAGCCGCGGTTTCACTGTAAAAACACGTTTGTTTGGGGGTTTTTTTGACACAGATCTGAAGACCATTATTACCCTAAACTGAACCGTCCTCCCAGGAAACTCCTTGGAGAGCAGAACTATCTGATCACGTGACCAACAAAAAGCTCCAGCAAATCACTTCTATCCGTTCAGATCTAAACTGCCACAGACTCAAGGTGCAAAATCAGATCTGAAGGCGTGAAAAGTTTCATGTGACGTCAATTTGAAACCCTCAGGAATCTCAGCGTCGCAGCTTCAAATCGATTTTTCACCTGAGGAAATATTTCACCCGAGTTAATATCCGGATGAAGAACGAATGGAAACATTGATGTAAAGGACAAATAACAAACCAAAGCTAAGACCAGTAAACTGATGAAACGCTGTGTCGAGTACGTAGTTTATCCACCAGAGGGCGCTGACAAGTTGACTGTTCAACTGCAAAATGTCGTGTTCGACGTGTAACTCGGCACAATTCTTTTAAAAAAAGAATCTACATGTTTAAGCTTTTAAATGACAATCGATCAGTCGATATGTTGTTATGAAATACCTCATTAAAAATTCATTTATCCAACATCACGAGTGTCTGTTCCAGCTCATAGTAACGTACTGCAGAGGATAAACACTGTTGTAGAGAGCAGAACACGTGTTTCCCACATGAGTTCACATCAGAGAACAAGAGATCTGAAGAGCGGAGAGGCTCACCACATGTTGTCCTGCATGCTAGCTCACTGCCATCAGTGTGTGTGTGCGTGTGTGTGTGTGTGTGTGTGTGTGTGTGTGTGTATGAGAGGCCGACTGTAAAGCATTTTGGATAAAAGCACCATATGAGAAATGTACTGTGTACTCCATTATCAGACATGGGGTTTGTGTGGAGTGGCCCTTTAAGTTCCAGTTTAACTTTATACAGCGTCATTTGAATGAGGTGCAAAGATCAGAGTCACAGTATCAGTATCCAGGTGGAGTGAACTCCCCTGGATACGGAGGATGGTGGTGGCGTAGCGTCGAGGAGGAGGGTCATAAAATCACATCATTGCGCAATAACGGATGTGAAACTGCTGATCGTCGAGCTGCGATACTTCACATCTGCGCCGCAACTAAGGATTTCAATTAATCTGATGATTATTTGTTCAATTAGACGGTTGAATGGTCAACGTTTGAGTTGGAGAATAAGATTTTTGATTAAAATTTAAGAAAAAATCAGCAGCACATGAAACTTTTACAACTGTTTTTGTTTAAAAACGACAACAAAAAAAACCTTGTAAAAACACAGTTTTCCACAATAAATGTTCCACATATGATGAACACCCCCCCGCCCCCCCCCCACACACACACACCCACACACACACACACACACACACACACACACACACACACACTGTAAACACACAGATCTGTGTTCCCATTAGCCGGTGACAGGCCTGTGTTTTATAGACTGACAGTAAACAGAAATTAGCGAGGAGGCTCTTTGAAAGGGAACACTCAGTCTCAGAGGCCTTCCGGGGGAGAGATTACCACTGCGGACGCATAGCTTTATGGGTTACCACGACGACGGGCTCTCTCTGTGACACTAAAAGCCTCTCAGAGGGCGACGCGGCAGCTGATCCAGCGGGGAGAGTGATTTAACGGTGAGGGGGGGGGGTGTCAAAGAGCCACTCGACGTCGGGCAGCTCTGATTGACTCCGCACTCCAGCACATTACACCTGCCGGCTGTAAACCGCAGCGTCTGCAGGTGAGTCACACAGTGAGTGATGCGTTCACTGCTTCAGGAACTCAGGCCTCTTCCTCGTGAGGATAAGTGACGCATTAAATCACGGCCCCAACACCTGGAAACACACTTCACATCTAAGCGGCAGGTAAACGAAGGTCAGGTCGAGCTAAATCTTTCCAAAGACCTTGACATTAGATGATAATGTACTAAAGCTTTAGCCTGTAATATATATTGATTGACCAGTGTGAGCTGGCTGATGTACTTCGACAGTATATCTCCGTCTTCTCTCCCTCTCACCAAACACACAACAGCCAGAACCGTCATTAAAGGTTATTCACCTCATTTCTACTTCCTGGATGAAAAGTGCATAAAAATATCATAAATATAAACGTTAAAAAAAGAGTGCATTGTGGGATACTTTGAGTCGACTACACAGACTAATGAACTATTTCAGATACGACATTCAGCTGAAACATTTACCAGGAGTCTGTCACAGAAACACATCAGCTCTCTGCACACTTTAACTCTAATGTCATGCTCCTGGCCGACATCTTCGCCACAGCAACAGCCACCGAGGCTCATGGGTACAATTGTGCTATTGTGAAAAGTTGATTTGTCGGGGATGAAGGTGGAAAAACAACATGAAATAACTCCGTGTTGACGCGGAAATGATGGAACAAACGTCTCCACAACTCAATTCTCCCATTTTACACTCGACATCAGTGTGAGTGACGGTTTGTGTTTCTCAAACGAGACGTGTGAAGAGATCCAGCTGCTGGATCTGTGACGCCGCCGCCGCCGCCCGCTCACCTTTCCCCTCTGTTTGAGAGGCTCGATGGTGAGGCTGTCGGCTCCGATGTCCACTATGGTGCCCAGCTGGAACCCGTCCGCTGGGTGGGGCGCCCACACCGGCTTCCCATCCTCCATCGCACCGCTCTGCAGGCTCTGGAAAACATGACACACACACACACACACACACACACAGACACACACACACACACACAGAGTCAGGGGTGTGTTTTGTGACACATTCAGGTGATTGTTCATGAGCTGAACTTGTTGCTGTAACCTCACATCATGGCAGCGAAGCAACAGGCTGCACCATCACAATCACAGTCCTACATTCACTTTTGTTGATGCCATGATCCACTGAACGTCACTGCAGGAAAGACGCTCCATGAAAATCCAGTCTTAGATGTTTCTACTTGAATTTTTAATGAAAGGAAGTAAAATATTATTTTTTCAGCCCTGGTATGTTTTTGTCTCCTGGTGATCCCACAATAAATATTTAATGGCTGTTTATTAATAGATTTAAAAACTTCTTATTTCACTGATATTTGCATTTTTAACAAATACAATATTATGACAGGCGGGATTTTTTAATAATATATTTCTATTGTTGTATTTTATGTGTCAGTTGTTTTTTTAAACAATATATAATTATATTATTGTATTTTATGTTTAAGTTTATTATGTCAGATAAATAAATAGATCTTTTATGTTTTATTTGTCACATGTCAACACTGACTGAAACCACCGAGTGCAGCTGAAGTTTATGGGAAAGTCTTTTACTTTTGCAGGTATTTGGTCAAAAACCATAAAGTATTGAACAAACGGAGATGTCGACCTGATGGTGGCGCTGTGGAGAAAATCAGGTCACCCTGGTTTAATCCTCTGGCTAACACGGATGTCTGTATATTTCAGGGCATCGGTGATGTCATTAGGATTCATTCACCAAATTTTCATTAGAATCCATCAAACGGTCGTTGAGATATTTCCGTCTGGACTGAAGTGGCGGACCGATCGATCAGCGTGTGGCTGCAGTTCATTAACATCCACTTTCCTGTTTATTTCCATCAAGAAGCAGCCGGAGGGAGAGAAGACGACAAACCACCAGCATGAGTGAGAAAACAGGAAAAACAACAGACACTGTGACTGAGTGTTTACAGCTCACAGATCATGTGACGCCTCCAGATCATGTCTTACTCCTCACCTACTCTAACTCAATCAGCTTTAAGCATTAATCCAATACTGGAGGAGTAAGTTTATCGCCGGCTCGGAGCGTCCTGACCCCTTAGTGTGAATGAGTGGGGGGGGGGGCACTGGGCAGCAGCTCGCCTGCCAATAAGATCTGAGACACTGAGCCAAGCGCTGTCTTACAGTTTCCATCCACACAGCTGTGAAGCGAATGACAACATGCAGCAGCCCCCCCCCCCCCCCCCCCATGTTGGCTTCCTGCCAAGCTGCAAACTCAATAAGAGCAAGTGTTCTATGGGAACTTAAAATAATTCCCTCCACAGTCGCTGCACTATCCGACTGAGACGCTGAGAGGCTCCCAAAATCAATTAAGGGAATTAAGTCATTATCAGCGGAGAACAATCGTCTCCTTTGTCGGAGTCGGTCCTGGAGCCGGAGGATAACAGGTCTGATCTCCTCATCAGACTCTCGCAGCGCAGTTGTGTTCGTGAGAGCAGAAACCAACCTGACGACATGATTCTGCGTGGAGGTCAGAGACGCCGCCCGGGAGCTAAAAGGTCACAGGTTCAAACCGTGTGTTCGTCAGGTAACCCCGAGCAACGCGCTGAAGCTGCTTCCTGCTGTGATCAGTGTTCTGCATCAACATGTTATTTTAGATGATGAAAGCTAATGTGAGTGGCGGAGGGATACAAGCGTGAGGCGGGAACGCTACTTTTAATAATACAACTACATGCTGAGACCTGAAAGGAGTGAGAGTTAGTTTTAGTTTGTCTAACAGAACATTCATGTTGGACGATTCTGCAGAACTCTGCATTATGTTCCATTACACTTTTTTAATTTTCCAGTTCGTCTTCAAACCGTCTCGTGCAGATAAAAGTGAAGGACATTATCCCTCCTGAATAAGCAGAAGAAAAAGGGCCTGAACTCCGTGGAGCTTCGGCCCGATTCAAAGAGTCTGAAGCCTGAAGGTGGGACGGCTGAATCCAGACCAAAGGTTGCTGGTGACTTATTGTCCCGGCTGTAAAATGTCCCCAGTGAACAAAGCACCAGACTGCATTTCTCTGTGATATAAGAGGGAGCCATTCAAGGAGAGAGACTCTGCCCTGCTGAATCTATCCTCTGGCTGTTGAGTGCCAGGCAGCAGGTCAGAGACAGGTCAGATTCTGCTTCATCACGGCTGTGAGTGAAATCTATGTTGATATATTCGATACTAGCCAGAGCCTGGTCTTTAGTTGCTTCCCATCACGGCACTAAACACACGCACGCAGTCGGGCACGGTGTCGTGCAGCAGGTTAATAAAAACATTTCAAACTCCCACAGGGGATCGCTCTTCTCTAAAACTGTAGCAGCAGCAGCAGCAGCGAGAGCTTTCCACATCGCTCTCCGATCGATATCATTTCTCCAGAACAATGAGTAAGTACAGTCGCACGAAGAGGGTTTGATACAGTCTGACTGCAGCTGCGTGAGTTATGAAAAGACAAGATCAAACCTGCTGCAAACACTCTGCAGCCCACACAGGCCGTCACCGACGCACTGAACATCGACCAGCACACAGGAAGTGATGCAACCACCTCCTGGGCTGTTAAACCGGGTTGAGCAACACCAATAAAAACTCTTGCATGGGTGGAAGATGAAAGTATCACCGGGGGTTATAATGTGGGTTGTTCCACTCATTGATGATTTTGGGGGTCAAACCTCAGAAAGAACTCTTCAAGAGAATCCCTTCACATTTTGTACAAATGTCTGTTTGGACTCGAACTGATTATAGACTTTGGTGGTTAAAGGTCAAAGGTCACTGGTTCATACTTTCTGTGACTGTGGAAAAACAGGGATGTGATCTGAAACTAAACTGAATCTTCACATGTGAGAAGCTGGAGCCAGAGATTATTTGGTGTTTCTCATTAAACAGGTGGAACATTAACACTATTATCAGTTTATTATCAGAATGGTTATCAATTCATTTTCCTGTTGAGCGCCTTATTGTTTCTGCCCTAATTTACATAACTGAGTGACACAGTTTGATTGAATTGAAAGATTATTAATAATAAAACGTTAATTGCTTTTACAAGTTTCTTATCTACTAATGATGAACTATTTTATCAACTGTGAATTTGTGACTAAACCTTAAACTTCTTCTTTCTGTTTGGCTGCAGACGACTGCAGCAAGAAATAACAACCAGAACAAATGAAAAGGAAAAATACAGAAAACAAAAGCTGCATTATAAAATAATACAAATTTAATAACTTAATAGGCCTAAGAAAGTATTTGTAATAAGCGGGTGCCATTCCTTCCTTTTAATCTGCTTGTACATTTGCATATAACTTCACTGAGGCAAGATGCAGTGATACGTATGACTGTGTGCAGTCTTCACGGATCACCCCCAACATAAACTTAAAAACCAACCTCGCTCTAAATTTAACATCAGACTGACACTGAATTCGAAGTCTCACCCAATAATTTCTGGTTTCACCGACAAACTTAAAACCCTGCAGCTGCAGAGGCGGCAGGTCCCAGAGACCCAGACAGCAGCAGCAGCAGGGAGCTAACGGCAGAGCTGAGCCTCGACTGCAGCGCTCATCATCACATTAATGCTTTTCTTTTTTTTTCCCACCAAAGCCTTAAACTAAAAGGGTACAGAACTAATCTATTTCCAGCCACTGGCCTAAATATTAAAATCCTCTGAGCAATTTGAGCTTCGCAGCCAACGTAAGGATCTGTCCGCGTCCTCTGGAACATCGTTTCCATTAACGTCCTCAGTCAGGTGAAAAATTAAAGACGCAAACGGAGCTGAGAAGTGAATATCTGCTGATGATTCCCAGAGCAGCCATCGGAGTGTGAGAGACGCTGCAGACACACACACACACACACACACACACACACACACACACACACACACACACACACACACACACACACACACACACAGAGAGAGGCTTTATGCTAATGGAGGTTTCTGTTTTAAATTGGTTTGAGGATTTTGCCCTGAATGGAGATAATAACTGGAGGGAGAAAAAAGACAAATAAACTGGATGAATTTGTTCTTTTTGCTTTGGTTAAACAGTCGAGTGAATTCACACCAACAACCTGAGGAAATAAGTCTTTTTTTAACCACACACACACACACACACACACACACACACAGAGAGGCTTTATGCTAATGGAGGTTTCTGTTTTAAATTGGTTTGAGGATTTTGCCCTGAATGGAGATAATAACTGGAGGGAGAAAAAAGACAAATAAACTGGATGAATTTGTTCTTTTTGCTTTGGTTAAACAGTCGAGTGAATTCACACCAACAACCTGAGGAAATAAGTCTTTTTTTAACCACTTTCACTTCAGCAGAAAGCAACTTATTCACTGCAGCTGTGTCAGCGTCAGGATTACAACAAGCACACATGTGAATAATCACCACTCAATATAAAATACCATTCACTATTTACACCAGTCACTTCTGTGTCTCACCCTCACAGATCAACTCAAACCAATCAGACAAACGCCACAGACGCTCAGCGCCTCCTGTACGACCAGATGTGATGAGGCTACAAATCTGACTGATGTAGTTTTTTTTTTTTTTCAGAGAGACAGATGTTTTCACACCTTTTCAACATCTGGAGAGAGAAAAGCGCCTCAAGGGGCGACCAGCACAAACGCTCTGAGCGTCAGCTTTGAAGGGTCTGAGTTTTATACCTGAGCCTTAAAACCAGCCGTCAGGACTTCTGGAACTTTGTGATGTCACAACGAAGCAGTCACCAGAGGCTCAGAGCCTCCTCTCTTCTGATTGGCTCACAGACCTGTTGTTACTAGAGCTCCAGAGAGAAGCCTGAGAGAGGAGATGGTTTTTATATCTTCTGATGGATCAACACTTCAAATAAAACACAGAAGAAGAAGAAACATGGAGCTTTTAAAGCGCCTCATGTCCTTAAAGGTTCATTTTTAATTAATGTTTTTATTCTTGTTTTACATTTTTAC